ACGGGGACGGGACGACAGACCACAATACTGTGACTACTACTTATTGTCAAAGAAACAACCATCAGACTGGAATCAGACGTCCACAAGCTTCTGAGATTTTTCAACCTAGAATCCCAGAGCCAGTCAAACTACCAATCAAGCGTGAGGGCGTCTGGGATCTGTGCGCATTCGACAACTTTGCCTCTGCACCATCCTCTTGGCAATGACTTGAGGATGCGCTCAGGTCCACGCGGTGCAGGATTCGGGGCACAGCAAGCCGGGTGTGACAGCAGGGCTGAAGGCAGAAAGACCACCAAGGACAGCCCAGAGCAGGAGGCTGCAGGTCTCAGGAAGGGGAGCACACGGGAAAAGTGGGGACTCGACAGAGTAACTGGATGGAGAGTTTGAAAAAAACTGATGTGCTAAAGGCAATAGTACAGGGGGAAAGAAGACAACTAGAAACTTCAGTAAAAACAAAATGCTGTTCCAAAAAGGAAATACAACCATAGTAAGCTACTCGGATCTGCAGTAAACAACATTTACATGGTCATGACGACATTCATACTGTTTACTCTCAACCTTTAGGACAAATCAATTAACAAAGCATACAAAAGACAAACAGAATTCGAGAGTTATCAGACTTGACACTGTCAGAGGCAGAGAAGTAGAAAAGGGAAGAAGAACGGGGAGGGCAGGGTGCACCCCACACTTTACAAAATGGGAACTGAGATACTGTTCAGTTAATATAACAAAAACGAAGTATGTAAATATAATAATTTATTTTTTCCTGATTATAAAAAACCTTGCTCCTTATAGGAAACATGGAAATTATTTTTAAATTTATCTTTATTGTTGAAAGTATCACAGATGTCCCTCTTTGCCCCTCATTGACCCCCCCACCATGCATCCACCCCACCCTCACTTCCCCATACTATTGTCTGTGTCCATGGATTATGCATTTATGCATGTAAGTTCTTTGATTGGAAATTACTCTTAAAAAAATCTTTTAATCACCCATAATTCAATTATTCATAGGACCTGGGTTTGGGCCTAAGCTCTGCAATTTACCATCTGTAATTTACCATCTGTACAGCTGTGAACAAGTGACTTAACCACTTAAAAGTTTCTTAAATTTCTTTCAGGTAATTTACCTATATGCTTTTTCCTGGTATATGTATCATTATATGAGAACTGTACTATGTACACAATTTTGAATCCAGATTTTTTTCATTCCAAAGCATAAAACTATGGATACATGTCATGCTCTTCTATATTTCTAAGTATATTTCTAAATATACCCTTGGCCATAGAGCAATCAGAGGTTTCCCAGAGATGGGGCTTGAACCAAATCTTAAAAGAAACCTAAGTAGGCTAAGTAGGCAGGGGCTGGGTGGAGTGGTGGTGAGGTATTACAGGCACCAAGGGCAGTGGGAGCAAAGGCACAGAAGAGCAAGCCTGTGCCTCCAGGTTGCAGTGAAAGGTGCGGAGAAAGTAAAGAGAGGAGGCCGGAAAGTGGCTATGAAGAGTTTAGTAAATCATGTTAAGGGATCCAGACAGCTTCCCATAGAAGACACGCGAAGAGGGCTTGGTAGACCTTGTTTGCTCTGGCGAGCTGGATCTAGGACCACGTTTGCCACAGGAAGTGCACAATAAATATTTTTGTGAGAAACATATGATACACAGAAGCCAAGAATGCCTCCCTGAGTTCTAGTCTGGGAGCTAGATACTGCCACGATGTGCTGAGGGAGGGAAGCCAGAAGCAAGATGTGTAGTCTGAGTTTTTAAAGTGTCACTGGTGATGAACAGTGCATCCCCAGGCGAGACTTTAGGCCCTCGAGGATCCATGGATTGGCCTCAGGGAGCCTACATGTCCCTAAAATGAGCACAAAACTGAATGTGCCATCTGCATGTCACCCGAAGAGGACCTACAACCTCCATTAGACTCTCAAAGGGGCTGTGACCCCAGAAAGATTAGGCACACTGGATGGAGGGGCAAGCGGAAAAGTGACAGATGTGGAAGGACACCTGCCTTGGCAAAAAGAGAGGCACCAGGGCACAGAGGAAGGATGAGCTTTGCCCACACTTCCTGAGCCTGGAGGGACTCTTGGCCAGTTGTGTTTGAGTCCCGAGCATTGATGGTCTCTCACCTGTGCTTCCAAAGCCCACATCCCATTTTATTATCACTTTTGCATTCCCGTGCTCCACTTAATACACATCTGTTGGTCTCATTTAAGAGTGAGGACAGGTTTCCTTGCTCAAGCTCAATACCCATCACTAGGCCTGGCTCTTTGATAGCTGGTCTGACAGCTCTCGGCAACTTAAGAAAATGAGGCTTCAAAGCGCCCACCCACTTCAGCAAGACCAGCAAAGGAGAAGGGAAAGGACTCCACACTGAAGCCCTCTGACCGCAAGGATAGTCACCCCTCCCCAATAAGAAACTGTACAGAAAAAAGTGGGTGGTCATTTATTTTAGGGCTGGAACTGAACTAGGAGGGAGAGGTATTAGCTGGGGAAGGATCTGATCTAATAATCCACTAGGCTCACATGATTTGTGCAGGATTGGGGTCCTGAACCTGGGTGCAAGTCTGTGGAATCTCAGATCTGAAGAAGAAATACAAGGAGAAATGTAAAAAGTCATCTTGATGAGTGAGGAACATAAATGTATATTATGTAAAACTTGGTCTGTCCATATAAATAAAATATTTCATACATTCACTTAAAATACACATATAGTAAGTTGGGTCATAGAATCTTAACAGCCAAGGGTTAACACAAGAGAAGGACCCCAGGGCAGCCAATGCAGTTACCACCCTATTTTGCTGAAACCATTCAGAACACTCTGCACCTCCAGACCAGACCCTTCTCCCCTCTCCCCTTGGGACACACACACCTTGGCCTGCAGGCTTCACTTGACTGCAGTGGCTCATGACCTGGTTGCACAATGGATCCCTTTCAGAGTTCTCAAAATATGAGGCGTGGGAATAAAAAAATTATAGAGCCCTAAGTGATTCTGACATGCAGCCAAGGCTGAAAACTACTGCTTTACTGCAAGGTTGGGTCACTGATTCCCAGACCTAGCTTTGTGTCACAACCACCTGGGTGGCGTTTCTGAACTACTTATGGAAATCTGTCACCAGGAAGTTACAACCATCCACGGCAGAGTATTCTATTATGAGGATGAACATACAGTGTGAAGCCAAAACAGTTTACCTGTCTTAATGCTCATACATCCCAGGTGGTATCTTCCAGAAAGTACACCATTGGCCTCCTGGTGGGTCAAGGTCAGAAATATATTCCAAAACTTCACACCTGCTCCCCTTTTGAGCTTCCTGATCATGCTGGGGTGCAGGAGTACCCTAACTTCCTCCTAATCTCAGCAGAGACAGGTGGGGCTATCTCTGGGTCTCTCCATCCCCAAAAAGGGGACAAGAACAGTCACTGTCAGAGGGTTAGTGAGGGCTTGAGCATTTTTGATTCTTATGTTTGAATCATACTGATTCCTTGTTTGTGTTCGTATCATTTAGTGGCAATGGGAAAGGAAGTTGCACATGCTTTGCTAAAAGACTGTGTTGAAGGGGAAAAAGAGGAAATGAATAAGCTTTCTCGCGTATGCCTTCTGTATGTGAAAGCGCTCTATAAACGACAAAGCACCATGTCGATTAACATTCAGTCTTGCAGAAATGCAACAATAAATGCATGCACCAAGCTGCTTATTACAGGTGCAGCATTTACGATAAATGCTCTTGTATGCTGAGAGGGTGGTGGTGGACAGACCCAGAAATCAGGGGACTTAAATTCCAGTCTTAGATTTGCTGCTTGCTGGTCACACCGCCTAAGGCACACCCCAAAATCTGTCACCTCCCACACCTAAAAACGAGACTACACACCCCTTTCTCAGGCTCTCCACGGATCTGGGTGGGGATTACAGGTGGCTGGAAAAGCACCATGGCAGAGCAAAGAGAATCTGGATTTAGGTCTTGGATTTGAAAATAGGCTGTCACTTGTTACGTGGCCTTGCTTTAAATGACCACTTGCAGGTAAATGGGGCAAACACCTCTTTCAGTGTTGTAAGGATTAAGGTAATGATCTATGTCAAAGCATGAGATAAGTGCCAGGAATCATGACGCTATACATGAAAGTACACAAACAATAAAGTTCTATATAAATACAAGGCAATGTTACATCACTCTACCTATTGCATAGTTTTATAAATAATTTTCCAGGAGTAAAGGCTCAGTGGTAACAAAGGTATCTTACCTTAGCCAGTTTCTCTCTCCTTCTAAAAGTTTCCATATTCCAATTCCTTTGAGCTTCTCCAAAAAAACTAAGACCTTAGGAATCCCACTCTGGCCCCTCCCTCTCCTTTCCTTTCCCTCTTTGGTCCTCTCAGAGTTAGAAGAGCTCCATTTTTTCTTCTGTAAACCATCCAGAAAGTGAGGACGACACTAACCCGAGCAGGTGGCTGGGCCTGAGCAGAATGAGCATGGAGGAAACGGGCACACTCTAGGCCAGCTTATTCGTTGACTCCCCTGTCTGGGAAGGGGGCTGTCCAGAGCAGCTCACTGAGATGGAATGCAGTGGGAACTGGGGCTTCTTTGGAGAGCTCTCATCTTAGCAAATGAGTACAGCCCAGCAGCATTGTGGCCCGTGTGTTGTCCCCTTCGAACCTCAAGTGCTTGGCCAAGCAGACTGGGGACTGGTCAGAAGAGACTCACCAGGGCTTTCCCATACCAAGGTTCATGAGGTACAGATAATGAGGGAAACAGCCGTTTTCCTACTTCTGTCCATTTTAGGAGCAGTAGACAGTTAATAGGCTTACAAAAAAAATGTTTTTAATTACCTAAGGAATGGAAAGCTTATAAATATTCATAGGTGAGTTGTTGGTGAATTGCTACCACAAGTAGTTTCCTTGACTAATCACTGCTCAACCCCAAATACTAAGACACAAGGTTCAAAGCGCCAGACTTCCACCAGGCAGACCTACACCAGTAACCTGCCTGCTGCTCAAGAAATTACGTTTCCAAAAACAAAATTTAGCTTAAAAATACTTTTCTCCAAATGGGATCTTTGTCGCTTAGCTCTGTAAGACCCATTTCTAAGAAGGCCACATTCCATTTCAGACATCACCATTAAGGACAGTTAAAAACAAAGTCCTTGCCTTTAGGGGCTTAGCTTTCATTTTCTTTAAATTAGCCTCTGAAATGCTTGTGTTTTGTGCTGCACCCCTGAAAGCTGTTACTTGTAAGGACATAGCAGGCCTCATTTTTACAAAGGAGGGGTCTAATTTAGGGGGTAGCAGGTTGACCAATGCCTGCAGGCCTTCCTCTTCCTTTACTTGTCACTCAGCGAGGTGGGTTCTGTGGTGTCGCATGAGGTGCGAGTTGGAAATGAAGGCCGCACCACACTTCTCACATTCGTAGGGCTTCTCCCCAGTGTGGGTTCTCTGGTGCACAGTGAGGCTCGACCTCTGCCTGAAGGCCTTGCCACACTCATTGCATGTGTATGGTTTCTCACCATTATGGATTCTCTGATGAATGAGCAGGTACGAGCTACAGGTGAAGGCCTTGCCGCACTCGTTGCACACGTAAGGAAGGTCTCCACTGTGAATCCTCTGGTGCACAATAAGGCAGGAAAGCTGACTGAAGGCTTTTCCACACTCGCTGCAGTCATAAGGTTTCTCTGCAGTGTGGATTCTCTGGTGCACGATCAGGTGTGAGAAACAACTAAAGGCCTTTCCACACTCTTTACACTCATATGGCTTCTCACCCGTATGGCTTCGCTGATGCACAATGAGGTTGGCGCTCTGGGTGAAGGCTTTGCCACAGTCACTGCAGGCGAAGGGCTTCTCCCCAGTGTGGATCCTCTGGTGGACCATGAGGTTGGAGCTCCGAGTAAATGTTTTCCCACACTCATTACATTCATAGCACTTTTCTGTAATGTGGACCTTCTGGTGGCGGGCAAGCTGTGAGCTGTAACTGAAAGCTTTCTCACATTCGCTGCACTTAAAGATTTTTTCCAAGGAGTGGATTTTTTGATGGACAGTCAGGTTTGAACTCTGAGTGAAGGCTTTCCCACATTTGGAACAAACATAGGGCTTCTGTCCAGTGTGGATTCGCTGATGGACAACAAGATTTGCACTCTGAATGAAGGCCTTCCCACACTCGTGACACTCAAAGGGCTTCTCCCCAGTGTGGATCCGCTGATGCACTACGAGGTTTGCACTCTGACTAAAGCCTTTCCCACACACGCCACAAGTAAACGGTTTCTGCCCGGGCTGGCCTTTTGGGTTTTTAACAGGGCCAGAACTACGGCTGTATCTTTCCCCAGATTTCTGACATTTCTGGTCTCCCTCTTCTTTGAAGCTTTTAGGTACGTGACAGTCCTTCACTGTCACTTGCCTAAAGTCTTCCTCCTCCCTCTTTATTCTCTGCCTCTTTAACATGACCCCCTTCTCATAGGCTGCTTCTAACTGAGGTCCTTGAGAGTCAACTTTCTGGATTCTTCCTGGTATCAGGAAGGGCTTTTCTGCTTCATCACATATTTCAGTTTTTGGAATCAATAATTGTGGGTTCTTGGTCTCAGCACCTGAAACAACAAACAACAAATACAGATGTCAGCTTTTTCTGACCTAGAAAAAGAATAGGATCATAAAGTCACAAAGGACAGGAAGTGTGACTTCAGTGTCTATAGATGTGCTTCATCAAAAGAAAAAATAGCCTCTGGCCCTGGGTGGGTGGCTCAGTTAGTTAGAGCATTGTCTCAATACGCTGAGGTTGTGGGTTTGATCCCTGGTCAGGGCACATACAAGTGGCAACCAATGATGCATAAATAAGTGGAACAACAAATCAGTACCTCTTCCTCTCCCTCCCTCTCTCTCTCCTTCCTCTCTTTAAAATCAATTAAAGAAAATTTTTTTTAAAGAAAGAATCCCCTCACATCACCTCTCCCAGGTAGGTTCTTCTGCCCGGCCTGTGCCCTCCCCCACACCCAGAACAGATTCTGATTCATGCCTTTCCAGCACTTCCATTCACCTCCATTAGACACTTAACACACTGCCTCATGCCAGGGGAGCCATCTCCAGACAGGTCTCCTCCTGCATGTCTGATGACCGACCTACAATTAACAGCAGTTCTGAAGGACACCAGTCTGTCCCCAGGCTTGCCTTCTTACCTCAGCCACTTAGTGTGGGTCTGCTTACAACCCAGCAGTTAATTAGGGAGATGCCCGACCTGTGAGCAAAGATCTAAGCAACTTAGGCTTTTGTGTATGCGGATGCTGCGCATTAAAGAGAGAGTAAGCTGGGCAGAAAGGGCCATACTGGATGTCAAGGGGACCACAGTGGCCAAAAGCCTCCAAAACCCTGAGAGGCTGTGCAGCAGAGAGATTAAGAACATGAATTCTGGAGCCAGATGGCATGGTTTCAAATACCTGCTCTGCCACTTACCACCTGCATGCTTTGGGCTAGTAACTTAACTTCTCTGTGCCTCCGTTTCCTTACCTCTAAAACAGAGACAAAAACAGTATCTACCTCATAAGACCACAAGAGGAGGCACTGGGTTTCCATGTCAATTGCTGAGAACAACCATGGAGCACAGGAAGTGGCTCTGTGAGTGTCTGCAGTGACTTTCGGCCTGACCAGTGGTGCTGTGGGTGACAGTGCGGGGAGCAAGGAGGAAAGATGAACCTTAGGGATGGCAGATACTATGGTGATAGATAACTACACTAGAAGGGACTAAAGAAGACTGTGAACAGAGTAAACACCTTACCTCATGTGTTGAGGAAACACCCTAGCCTTGTGGCAGGGAAAGCTGACCTTTCCGAGTTAAGTGTAAGACATGGCATAGTCTGCTCCATAGTGTCAAAAATACCATGAGAACCTCAAAGCTTCCTGAAGTTTTAAAACTCTGACTAGGCTCTGATTGCTCTACACTGCATCAGAACCCTAATGGTGCCAACATGGGGTCCTGCAGTCAGTGCCGTCACAGCTCTTTGTCCGTCTCTCGAGCTCCACTGCCCTGGCCCCTGCAATGTGCACCCAGGAACCAGGCCGCCCTCCACCGGGGCTAGAGGAGTGAACCCTCATCATGTGTTTGGGGTTAGACCAAGCTCAGGAAAAAAACTCCAATAAGCAGCCCAGTGGGATGAGAATCAGCAGGGATGGGAGGCAGGCCTCCCCCTGGTGGTGGCAGCTTAGAAGTGAGCAGTAAAGCTGTGAGCCACATCACACAGCAACTCCCTGGGGGACCCAGCACCCACAAAACATCTGACCAGCTCAGACCAGGGTTTCTGCAACCGGAGATGAGTGAGTGGGACAGGGATGTCGAGGTGGGACAAAGCAATA